CCCCCGTTTTTCCCGGTTTTCCCGCGGATGCTGATGGCGCTGTCCCCGCAGGCGCTGCCGCCATGAGGGCCGTGCTCTGGGATCTGCTCCTGCTCTGCCTCTGCGCCCGCGCCCGCGGCGACTGCCGGGACGACTGCGCGCACTGCGACCGCCTGCTCTACCGCGACAGCTTCGACGTCCTCGTGAGTGACAACACCCTGGACCCTGTCACCACACCTGGGGGGTCTGGGCATCCTGAGTGACACCGACCCTGTCCCTTGTCCCCACACCTGGGGGCTCTGGGCATCCTGAGTGACACCGACCCTGGTCCCTGTCCCTTGTCACCACACCTGGGGGGTCTGGGCATCCTGAGTGACACCGACCCTGGTCCCTGTCCCTTGTCACCACACCTGGGGGGTCTGGGCATCCTGAGTGACACCGACCCTGTCCCCTGTCACCACACCTGGGGGCTCTGGGCATCCTGAGTGACACCGACCCTGTCCCCTGTCCCCACACCCGGGGGGATCTGGGGGACATTGTGAGTGCCACCATCCCTGTCCCTTGTCCCCAGGGGCCTATGGGCATCATAAGTGCCACCACTGTCTCATGTCACTTGTCCCCAAGGACTCTGGGCATCGCAAGTGCCACCACCCCTGTCCCTTGTCCACACACCTGGGGGGGTCTGGGGGACATTGTGAGTGCCACCATCCCTGTCCCTTGTCCCTTGTCCCCGGGGTGCCCTTTTCCCTCTGCTGAGGGACATCCTGAGTGCCACCACCCCTGTCCCCACACCCAGGGGTCTCAGGGCATCCTGAGTGCCACCATCCCTGTCCTTTGTGCCCTAGGGCTCTGGGCACCATGAGTGCTACCCCTGTCCCCAGGGGCTCTGGGCATCCTGAGTGCCACCACCCCTGTCCCCTGTCCCCACACCTGGGGGGGTCTGGGTGCCACCCCTGTCCCTTGTCCCCAGGGGTCTCTGGGTGCCCTTTTCATTCTATCTGGGGGACATCCTGAGTGCCACCACCCCTGTCCCCACACCTGGGGGCTCTGGGCATCGTCAGTGCCACCATCCCTGTCCCCAGGGGTCTCTGGGTGCCCTTTTCATTCTATCTTGGGGACAACCTGAGTGCCACCATCCCTGGCCCCTGTCCCCACACCTGGGGGGGGTCTGGGGGACATTGTGAGTGCCACTCATGTCCCTTGTCCCCAGGGGCCTATGAGCATCCTGAGTGCCACCACCCCTGTCCCCAGGGGGCTCTGGGCACCATGAGTGCCACCCCTGTCCCTTGTCCCCACACCTGGGGGAGTCTGGCCATCCTCAGTGCCACCACCCCTGTCCCCTGTCCCCAGGGGTCTCTGGGCGCCCTTTTCCCTCTGCTGGGGTCTGGGGACATTCGGGGACATTTGAGGGGACAGTGCCACCTGCTGTCACTGTCACTCCTGGGCGGGCACCGGGATGGTTCTGAGGGAAGGTGAGGATCCCAAATCAGAGTGAAAATCCCAAATCAGGATGGTCCCAAACCGGGGTGAAAATCCCAAATTGGGTCCCTGGGGACATCCAGGATGGTCCTGAATTGGCACCGGGATGGTCCCGAGGGAGGGTGAAGATCCCAAATCAGAGTGAAAATCCCAAATCAGGATGGTCCCAAATCAGGGTGAAGGTCCCAAATCAGGGTGAAGATCCCAAATCAGAGTCAAGATCCCAAATTGGGTGCTGGGGACATCCAGGATGGTCCTGAATGGGCACCAGGATGGTCCTGAGGGCAGGTGAAAATCCCAAATTGGGGTGAAGATCCCAAATCAGAGTTAAAATCCCAAACCAGGATCTTCCCAAGGGAGGGTAAAGATCCCAAATCAGGGTCAAGGGGTCAAGATCCCAAATCAGGATGGTCCTGAGGGCAGGTGAAAATCCCAAATCGGCGTGAAAATCCCAAATAAGAGTGAAAATCCCAAATCAGGATGGTCCCAAATCGGGGTGAAAATCCCAAATTGGAGTGAAAATCCCAAATCAGGATGGTCCCAAGCCCAGGGTTTAAAATCCCAACCCCAGGGTTAAAAATCCCAACCCCAGGGTGCTCCAAGACCCCAAACAAACACCCCCACCTCCCATCCCAACCCCAAAACCCCTCTGGGAGCCCTGGCAGGGTGGGACGGGCTCGGAGACCCCACAGCTCCTCTGGCTCTCAATTTGGGATGGGAAGAGCCCTAAAACCAGAATTTGGTTTTTTTCCAGCTCCTAAATCCTGGATTTTTTTTTTTTCCCCCCTCGGTTGAGCCGTGTCCCGGCGTTCCCGGGGGATTTTTCCATCACCTTCCCCGTTTTTGGGGATCCCAAATAAAGGGACACTTCTTTATTTGGGATAATAAATCCCATTGAGTGGACACGTCCCCGTTCCCAAAAGGAGCCCCCAGGGTTGGGAGCCCCCCAGGCTTGGGAAATATCCCAAAAAAACCCCCCAAAACTTCCAGAAGATGCTGGAGCCACCCCAAAATTTTGAGGTGCCACCACCCAGGTTCGGTCCCAAAGTGTTGAAGGCACCAGAACCAATTTGGGATCCCCCGTTCCTGCAGCTCCAACCAGAAACTTGGGATTTGGGGTCTCCTGGTGGGATTTGGGGTCTCCTGGTGGGATTTGGGGTCTCCTGGTGGGATTTGGGGTCACCTGAGCTTCAGTTTGGACTGGAAGGAGCCACCTGATGGCATTTGGGGTCTCCTGGTGGGATTTGGGATCTCCTGGTGGGATCTGGGGTCTCCTGAGGTTCGATTTGGACTGGGAGGAGCCTCCTGTTGGGATCTGGGGTCTCCTGTTGGGATTTGGGGTCTCCTGGTGGATTTGGGGTCTCCTGGCGGGATCTGGGGTCTCCTGAGGTTCGATTTGGACTGGGAGGAGCCTCCTGTTGGGATCTGGGGTCTCCTGTTGGGATTTGGGGTCACCTGAGCTTCAGTTTGGACTGGAAGGAACCTCCTGGTGGCATCTGGGGTCTCCTGATGGTTTTGGGGTCTCCTGGACTTGGTTTGGACTGGAAGGAGCCTCCTGGTGAGACTTTTGGGGTCTCCTGGTCAGATTTGGGGGTCTCCTGGACTCGGTTTGGGCTGGAAGGAGTCTCCTGGTGGCATTTGGGGTCTCCTGGTGGTATTTGGGATCTCCTGGAGGGATTTGGGGTCACCTGAGCTTCAGTTTGGACTGGAAGGAGTCTCCTGGTGAGACTTTTGGGGTCTCCTGAAGTCGGTTTGGGCTTGAAGGATTCTCCTGGTGGCATTTGGGGTCTCCTGGTGGCATTTGGGGTCTCCTGGTGGGATTTGGGGTCTCCTGGTGGCATTTGGGGTCTCCTGAGGCTTGGTTTGGAGTCTCCTGGTGAGACTTTTGGGCCTCCCACCGTTCCCAAAGCAACGTCCAAGGAATTCCCGCCGGCTCCACGGAAATCCCTGGAATTTCGGGGGCCAGGGAAGGACGGGGCCCCGCTGCTCTTCGAGATGTGGGTCAGTCACCCCTGTCCCTGTCCCCGAGGCCACCAAGGCCACCAAGCAAAGATCAGGAAGATCCCCAGGTGGTTCTGGACATGGAGGAGCTTTGGGTGTTGTTCCAACCAAGAATTCCCGATCCGGGAACTGGATCCGATTCCGGCAGAACCGGCACCACAGCCCGGTGACCCAGGAGCCCGGGATGTCCTGGGAGCTGTCACCTCCTGGGATCCAGACCCTCCCAAAAATTTGGAGATGCCAGGGGAGGGCCTCAGCTCCGGGGTGATCCCAAAATTCCTCGGCGCCGCCTCGCTCGGGGACGATTCTCCCGATTTTTGGGGATTTGCCGGATGAGCCCTCGGGGATGGGGGGAACTGATGGAAGGGCAGCCCCGAGTGGCCACTGGTGGCCAAAAAGAGACATTTAGGGGCCAGCAGGTGGCCATGAGACCCCCCTGGATGTTCTCCATCCCGTGGGAATTCCTTGGATTTAGGTGCCCAAAAAAAAAAAAGGAGCTTCTGGTGCATTTCCAGGAATGAATCCAGGATTCCTGGAAGAGTTTAAAGAAGGATGACCCCATTTGTGAAGAATGGGGTGGTTTGAAGGGAAAAAAAGGATTAAAAAGGGATTAAAAAAGGGATTTTAGGGTCACCTGCAGGGGGACAACCCTTCCCTGCTGGGCCTTCCAGAAGGTTCCTTCTGGTGTTTATGGAGTTTGGCTCTTCCATGATTTTCTTCTGGATGGGTTTGGTGGCACCAAATCCCCAGAGCAGAGCTGGGGCCGTGTCTGGCTTGGAAAGGGATGGGACACGACTGTGATGGGATGAACCCGTGGGAGCCCACGGTGACACCGGTGACAAAGGGACACGCGGGGAGTGGCCGTGCCCGGGGGCTGCAGGAGCTGCAGGTCCTGCCTGCCTGGAGGGAGGAGGGAGGAGGATCTGGGGAGCTTCCGTGAATCCTTGGAGGTGATGGAGATGCTCTGTGCTCCATCACCTCCCTCTCCATCTCCATCTCCTCCACCATCATCTCCATCTCCTCCACCATCTCACCTCCATCTCCACCTCCATCTCCACCATCACCTCCATCTCCACCATCATCTCCATCTCCACCATCATCTCCACCACCATCTCATCTCCATCTCCACCATCATCTCANCATCTCCACCATCACCTCACCTCCATCTCCACCATCATCTCCATCTCCACCATCATCTCCATCTCCATCTCCTCTCCACCTCCACCACCTCCACCATCTCCACCATCTCCATCTCCATCCCGTGGAGCTGTGCTGGAGGTGTGCAGGACGGGAAGGTCACTGGGAGCAGCCAGTGTGGATTTCTGGGCTTGATCTTCATCCTGGTGGCCGTGACATCCTCGAGGACAATCCCAGATGGGTCAGGGCTTCTTCAGGAGGAGCTCAGCAGATGCTGCAGAGCTGGGAGGGCTGGTGGGACCCCCCAGGGCTCTGCTGCTCTCCAGAGGAACATTCCCAGCTGGAGAAACCTCGGGAAGAGCAGAGTTCTGGCCCTGGGGAGGAGCAGCTCCAGGCACCAGGAGCTGCCATGGGAATGGGCCAGAGGTTCTGTCCCACCTCCACC